GTTCCTTAAGTACAGTGCTTTTAAAATGCACCTTTCTCTTCTGAAGTGAAAATGTGCTACCTTATTTAGATGAAGGGATGTTGTTGCCCAGAGTGGGGGTTCCCAAACCTTTCCATTAACCCTAAACAATGTTAGCTCTCTTGCAAACCCACAGACGATGATAATTACATTGATAATAATCAATTCTATTGGTCACTGCAAATGTAAATTTTTTATGAAATTTGACCTCTGCAGTTAGCCCATCCCTAAGGAGCAGGGGGCAGCTTGGAGCATATAGTTGCTGCCTTTTGAGAATGCAAGCACTCTACTATGTTCATTAGGTCACCACTCCATCAAATGATACAAAAATCAATACAGTATAAAATGCTATGCAATTCCAACATTGAGGATCTCACCTTCTCAAACAGAGCAAACATATTTGTAAGCGCAGAGCAGATCTTCAAAGAAGGTGCAAGGTGATTTGCACTTGCAATTCCGCAGACAATGTGTGCAATCCATTCTTTCAAAACAGTTATTTTCTTTTGTTTTTTTAACTATGAGCATTTTTAGTTTGAATAATTTTTACTTTTTATTTTTTACAATTATAAATTTTCTCCATTTGCATGGCTTTAGGCATCCTCTTCCTTTTATGACTAATTTTAAACTGCCTGTAGAACAAACAATGTGTTCAGTTTCATGCAGAGAACCAAATCAGTTTGCAACTCTTAATATTTGCACAGCAATCTTTGTAGATCCCCCCACAACATGCCCACTTTTTGCATATAAAAAAAAAAAAAAAACCTTGTAATTTAACGCCACCTTTTCAGAATCTATGATTAGGTCTGTAATTTTGTAACTGCCTTTTTTAAAATTCTATTAAATGACACTCCTTCCACTATTTTCTACAGTGAATAACCCATTATAAAAACGTGAAACAAACCTGAACTCAAAAAATTCTTTAAAACTGCGTGTCTGCAAAATGCTGCAATATTTGAAGATTGCTTTATACACTTTATTCCACCGATATTCCCTTAAAAGCAATATCGTGAATAGGATATTAGAAACTTAAACGATGGGATTTAATAGTGTTATAGGCTCTGTGCTGATTGTCATTGATTATGTGACTCCTGTGAGAAGCAGGAGATGATAAATGTCTGCTCCTTTCTCGCATCTGGATGGAAAATGGAAGATTTAGCTTACAAAAATGGTTTGCTGTGAATAGTAAAATAAGCCATTAAATTCTATACACCGAGAGAGAGATGGTTTAAACCCTGGAGACAGGCGTAGAAAATGTTACATTAGTCAAGCTTGTGTCTGTGTGGGTCAGCGGGCGTGTGTTTTTGTAAAAAAGACAGATCTGATGCTCAGTGTAACTTGGAACTCCTATGGTGAATGTGTGACCTTGCAGGTTCAAAAGCCATTAGCACTTACAGAATATTGCATTGTGCTTTCATGCATAACATGCACTTTTATGGGCTTGATAATTTACTGACTCCATAGAGAGTAACTTAAAACACACACACACAGATATTTTGTAGGAGCAGAAATAGAAGAGAAGGCTACACATAAGCAATGCATCTTGCCAGTGGGTACCTTGTGAAATTTACGAAGGTCAAAGATTGTTACAGCAGACCTTGGGTATCAATCTTAAAAGTCATTCATGATTAAGTTAACAGGCTTTTGTTACAGAATGAACGACATATGGGTTTTAAACAAAGGTGACTTGGGGGAGGCTTTTTTTCAGATAAAAAGATGGCTGTTACATGATATACATTGCAATCACTGAAGTATCAATTTAATCAATTAACTATATTGCAGACAGTTCAAACAAAAACAATGTCTTTGCTACTCTTTCCCTTAATCACCTGCATGATGGTTTGAGAAAAGAGTTGCTGTTGCAGCGTTTTGCTTGTCCTTACAGTATCTCCCACCTATTAAGAATTGGAATTAATTTCCCACCTATAAAAAAATGGAATGAAAAAAATTTTAATCAGGGCATGAGCCTTAAGTTAAAACAATTAATTTTCAATTCAACACAGTTTATTTATATAGTACCAATTCACAACCAATATAATCTCAGGGAACTTTCTATCAAGGAAAGCCACGTGGTTGCATAGTCATTGACCTGCAGGACATGCTCTTCCTGGATGAGCGTGCAGCAATGATATTCGCTTGTATTTTGTTTTTGACCCTTCAGCAATCCCTCACACCATGCATGCAGTGACAGGGTAAACATATAGGGTAAAGAGAAAAAAAACAGTAGCATAGTCAAGTTTATTAGGACTGAAAACTCTGGTAAAATGTCGGTTTGTGCATGACACCTGATATTGGTCTCTACACAGACAAACTCACATTCTGGTCTTGCTACATGTACTGAGGACCATGTCACATTGGCTTCCATTTATTTTCAGTCATTTTCATCCCTCTCTACACCCTCCCTCTGACAATAACCCCACACATAACCATTACCAGTGCATACCTCACCATAAACCTAAACTACGGTAAACTAAACTC